TGTGCCCAGGCCCTAAAGAGTGAAAACACACTAACGACTTTAGTTTTACCCGGGTTAGCATGAAAGTGCCTGTCTGCAGTACATGTGAGTGTGAAAACAGCCGATTACTTGAGCGTGAAGACGTTCTTCTTCTTCTTGTAGCCATTGGTGACGTCGCAGTGGCAGTGGGAGAGGTTGAGCAGCGGCTCGTTGTTGTAGGGCGTCGTGGTGTTCTTGGCGTCCTTGTAGAAACCCAGCTCCCCTTTATTCAGCACGCAGTACAGGTTGACCCATGATCTGCTGTGGTGGGGGGAGGCGGGAGGGGAAGAAGAGGAGGGAAAAGGTGGGAGGAAAAGAGGAGCATGGGGAGGGAGGTTGGGTGGAGGGGTGGGGGAGCACAGGAGGAGTCAGGAAGAGCTGCAGAATCACAGTCGCTACACTAACACCTCACTCACCTGACCAGAGCAGACAGGTAGGTAGGCGGGATGAAGCAGCCCCAAGAAGGGAAGAGGAAACACACTGCTGAACAAACACAGACGGACGGACAGACAGACGGAGGAGGTGGGGGGATGGAGGGATGGGGAGGAAGGCTACGTACAGCTTGTGCGCACCTGTGTGCGAGGCTTACATGTGACTTACCTTGGAGGAGACAAGAGGAGCAGCCAGCAGCACCGAGGAAGAGAGGAGAAAGGAGACAGAGGAGTTTGGTTAAAATGCCGTTTTGGCAACAACGCGGCTTAAAATCCAGACATGCTCGTTTTCCCTCTGTGAGCGTGTTTACATGCACACAGCATTCCAGTTAATAGCTGACATCGGCAGTACTGTGCACAAGTTTCAGGAACTTGTTTATATTTTTATCTTCAGTCGCCCAGACACACAGTCAGAGTCCTTAAGGGCAACTTTCAGCCACAAGAAGAACAAAGAGTTCTGCAGCAGATGGTGTGGAAGCCAGTGTGAGATTACATAAAGAGACAGCCAGGCTCCACAGATGATCTGTGGCAAATCTCCACAGACCTTAAAAAGAAGTTTAAGTTTTGTTTACTTCACTTTCTATTATTTTATTTTAAACATTCTCCTTTTACTTTTAGCAGCGAAAACATTTGCACAGTACTGCCAGTATTATTCAGAGCAAGTTTCCGTGTGCAGCTTAATATCCTGATTTCAAACTCAACAGTAGATACACGGGTAAATAAAACAATGGTGCAAGTGATAAGTGATGTCTGAACTGCTCACAGCACCTATTAAAAGTTCATTCTTGAAATGTTTTTCTATTGTTGGCTCTGCGTGATGGCGGGGAGTGCAGATATCCCCGACGTGGTCATCTCCAACCACATCCAGAGCTTTGCTTTGCAAGGCAGAAGAAAAATGGCTTAAAGGAGCGGTAGACTAAAGAAAAAATAAGGAAGACTGTTGGGAAGAGTTGGAAATGAGCGCAACAGGTTCCCTTGAGCTAAAAAAAAATGTTTCTTTTAATATCTCTGTTCCTTGGTGTGGGTTTTTAACGTATTTTCCTAGTTTACAGTAGCAGATATTACTTTTCTCTTCCTGTACATTATGAACAGGACACCTCGGGAAGAAGTTTAAACTTTTTCAGACGAAATTTGACATGTGAATGCGCTCACAGCTGTAACCTCAATTTAATGCGAAGCATAGACGTGGAAGTTTGTCGTCCACTTTCATACACCTTTCACAGGCACCATACCCTAACAAGGTACCAGAATATTAATGTGCACATCGACTTACTTAGTGTCTCATCGCGTAGAGATGTAACAGAGACAGGTTGAATCTCAGTCCTTCCCTAAATGCATCCTCGCTTTCTTTCTCGGCATCAACCGCTAACAACGAGGAGCACTTTGGAGATTCACACTTGTCCGGATTTAAGCCATTCGACATTGTGCTTTACCTTGCCATGTACATAACAGGGCATGTACATACGACACACTCATCCATTGCCTTGAGTAGGTGCGTGAGCGGGACTCATCCACAGCTGGGAGGGGATGAGCTTTTAGCTGTGCAAGGTCAGCCCAGCCCTCGGGGGGCAGTGCAGAGAGAGACTTTCTTGCTGGTGTCTCTCTGGAAGAAGCAGGGTGGTCATCAGTGGAGGGCAGGCTGTGTGCATAAGTGTGTGTGTTTGACCAGCAGCTCCATCCCACAGCATTCCTCAGCCAGTCAGTCAGTCTCCTGTGTTTTATTCTGTGGGCTCGCGTTAGATCAGGAGGCATCGTAAGCGTCATGCATGAAGTTTTCACATGCGGTGGGAATCCTGCAGGCCTCTGATCTAATAAAGTGCTCTAATTACATCCTGATAATCAGCACTGACAGACATAATATATTCAGAGGCTGACATAAGATTTCCTTATTGTGTCACCACCATCACTTTTACATTTACATTAGCGAATCCTTTTCCTGCTTCATGTACTCATCACTGATTTTCTTACTCTTCAGTACAAATTAACAACTGCAGGACTGGGCGATATCTCAGTATCTGCTATGAAAGAAGATCTTTATAGTAGAAAAGTGCAGTAAGCCTTCAGGTCCTTCACTACATGTACAGACTTATCAGTATAAAATGCATTTACAAACCATGTCGGACATGGTCATCAGCAGAATGTAAAAGAGCCAAAGTTAGTTTGTATGGTATATTCAGCATGTACCTGCGTTACGTATTTAAAATACAGAATATGAGTAACTGTATTCCGTTACAGTTACCGTTTAAAAAGGTGGTATTCAGAATACAGTTACTTTGTTGAAATAAAGAAATTACACAGCTTTTCCTGTTTCATATGTTCGGCTATGCCCTCTCTATTTCTGGTAATTCCACGCTGGCGGAAACCCAAACAAAACACGCATTAAGAGGCTCTAATGTCTGTGTCTCAATCCCGCGGCCCATGTCACCTCTACTTG